TATTTAAGATTCACATTTCAATGTTGGTTGTCATAGACTATTACATCAGAATAATCCCCAAATAAAAGATGTATGCTGTCATCATATATGTATACGTATACTCTTCTTATTTTTTTCTAAATAGGAAGCTTTCTGCAATAAATCATGTTTACATCTTTTGCATTTTAGATATTGATTTTTACCGTTTTTGCCATTTGGATGTGCAGGAAAGTGAAAGGGACAAACAAAAGAAAGACAAATATACTTTCTCCAAGGAATATCGTGTCTCAAAATCAAACCTCGGCAAATGAACATGATTTCTTGGAATATGATTAAGTTAATCCTGCTGAAATGATAGATATAAAATGTCCACAACTAAAAGAATTCAAAGAAGAAATTGACCCGAAAACACATTGGAACCACAGCTATGTTCACCAGTTTGTTCAGCATGAAAACAACAGCATGATAACGAATATGAACATCCTTATTACACTTTGGAGGAAAATCGTTTTTCATCACAACATGAATATTCATCACTTAAAGCGAAACTTGAATATGAGAATACCACAATATGATAAGGAATTTGTCATTTTATGTCTACGGGAAATTGAAGTTTCTAGATATTTATTATAAAGATTACCTTTTATTTGGTATGATTTTGTCTATTCCACCACGTCTGTCCGAATAATAATAGAAATAACATAAAATGTACCTGTTGTGTTTTGATATAGACGTCAATTCGAATTTTATAGTGTGTCTTTCTATGTTGTGATGTTACACTATTATTTCAGGTTAGGGTGGATGTTGGCGCCTGTTAAAACCCGCTGCATTTGTTTCCACCTGTCCTAAGTCAGGAACCTGTTGTTGAGTGGTTGTTGATGTGGTTCATAAGTGTTTCTCGTTTCTCGTTTTTCACATAGATTAGACCGTTGGTTTTCCTGATTGAATGGTTAATTTTTAACATTGTCATATAAGCGGGAGGTTTGGCTAGCCATAAAACCAGGTTCCACCCACCATTTTTTCTTAAAATGTCCTGTACCAAGTCAGGAATATGGCAGTTGTTATCAAATAGTTTGTTTCTATGTATGTTGGCGTTTGTTTTTGTTGCACTTCAGTGTTCCTGTTGCTCCTTTTTTTACTCTTATAGTTGATGTGTTTTCCTCGGTTTTAGTTTGTAACCCGGATTTGTTTTCTCTGAATCGATTTATGACTTTTTAATACCGGTATGCTACTGTTGCCTTTATTTACACTAGTCATGTTTGGGACTCTTTATAGCTTGCTGTTCGGTGTGAGCCAAAGCTCCGTGTTGAAGGTAGTACTTTGACCTATAATGGTTTACTTTTAAAAGTTGTGACTTGGATAGAGAGTTGTCTCTTTGGCACTCATACCACATCTCCTTATATCTATCATAAGTATAGATAAAATGACGCCATAACAAAAAAAAAGTAGAAAAAAACGAAAGACGACGAAAAGACAAACAATTTCACAAAACACTACATAGAAAAAAGACTGCGCAACTCGTACACACCAAACACTGTAGGTGATCTCAGATGCACCGGAAGTGTTAGCAGATCCTACTCAACAAGTGGCAACCGTCGTGTTGTCTACGGTAAATACAAAATTGATAATGAGTCTCATTCGTTGATTTTATAATCGATTAAAAGAGGTCATGATTGTGGTTACGACAATTAAAACATATGCGTGTTCATAGACAGAATAAGATATCACATAACGGTCAACCAACTAGCATTAGCGAACGTAAAATTTTTGAAGAGATGACTACACTTTTTCCACTTAGAACCATACGGTAAAAATCGTCTTTTTATCTTTTTATCTTAATCTCTAAAACTATTATAAAATTGAGAATGGAAACGGGGAATGTGTCACATAAGGAAATGTCTGTACCAAGTCAGGAATATGACAGTTGTTTTCCGTTCGTTTGATGTGTTTGAGCTTTTGATTTTGCCTTTTGATGAGGGACTTTCCAATTTGAATTTTCCTCGGAGTTCGGTATTTTAGTTATTTTACTTTTTTCAAAGAGAAAACAACCCGACCAAAGAGCAGAAAACAGCCCAAGACCATTAATGGGTATTGAACAAAGCTAGAAAATCAAGCACCCGGAGGCGGGCTTCAGCTGACCCTTAAACAATAATGTATACTAGTTCAGCGAAAATGGACTATAGCATTAAGTTGATGAAATATGCCAAAGGGTGGATTGCAAACATTTCAAATCATATATAGGTTTACCTATTTCATTAGTGTAAAAGTACGCGTGGTCAACTGTTATTCTATAATTTGAGGTAAAAAATCCAATAAATCTAGTTTTACTAGACATGAACTGATCTTTGTTGTTGAGAGACTTGTATACCATATTTTTCTATCACTAATCATTCCAGGAGAACATGGTTAAGTTCAATATAGCTGACGCACTCACGTTTACTTTGATCATGCGTTTCTGCTTGGTGGATAATACACTAAAACTTGAAGTGGGATAACCGGTTATCTACTCTATGGCAGAAATTTACCAATATACATGTATATTTGTTTTATTGTATAGTGTATTGCTTTCTTTCAATATTCACGAATTATTAGTGAAAACCAATATGTTTATAAAGTGTATTGATGAACGTGTAATGTGTAATATGAGTGTTTAAGTCTAGGTTATTTATCTAAATACATTACAATCAGGTAAATGTGAGAAAGATTATTTGGTAACACAAATTGACGTCGAGGAAAATTATTTCGTTATATGTTGTTTTAGATCTGAATGCTTTTTTATTTGGGAAATGCGGCAAATCTTTGATAGTTTCTGTTTATTTTATCGGAACTTTTACGGACTCTGATACATTTGAAGCTTGACATTCGGATATTGTGCTAACTCCTGTGTATGTTTGAATGCAGCATTGTACCTCCTATATGGCATTTGGACAATTTTGACATTGGTCTTTCCTTGTAAGAAGCAATGTTACATACAAAAATCAAGAGAGGAGAGCTGGAGTATCATATCATCCGGCCTATAATAGGACGAAATCACAGGCAATTAACTATAGAATATTTACATTTGTCAATCTACATGTATGATTGTTTGCCTGCATTTCATTTGGACTCTAACGAATAGTTCTTTCATTGGCAATCATACCGCATTTCCTTATTTTTATATTCATTGCTCAATTTGTATGCGTTCGGTAACTTATTTTCGCCAACATGCTTGTTCTCTGTAGTGCAACTGACAAATTTATATACTTACCACTTGATCTAAACTAGGAATAATCGTTATCTTCTGCTTTCCAGGTGATACCCCAAGTGTAATATGGGACATCTCCTTTAGCAAACCTTCCTCCCGCTAGCCCTGGTCGATCTCTGTTTTCGTTCCAGACATTCTCGCGATATCATACCAAAGTACAAGTATGTAATGCTTAATTATCACAACTGTATATTTTTCTTACTGTTTTTTTTCACCAATTAATCCATAAGTTCATTTTTGTTTTGTTTCCAGTAATCCTGTCTAGTTCTGCTCTCTGTAAAAACAACTCCCTCATAATGCAGGACTCCCGTCAGGATTGCTACCTTAGAATTGTTCTCTCTCAATTAAGCAGAAACACCTATAAATAGTCTAAACCACTAGTTCATTGTCTCATATGTGATATACGTAGACAGATATCTATAATATTAAACTGTTGATATATATTTAGTGCAAAAACTACATATATATATGTACTTTTTCCATGTGTAGTTATTTTCACGAATTTGGTATAACTGATGAGTATATAATTTCGCGATATGTGCTTATCACTGGTGTTGTTATGATAGTTTGACAGCTCCGTTAAGTCATGTAAGGCAATTAGGGTAAACATGCAGGTCCAGTCTTAAAACAGAACATAATTATTCCATGGTTTTTACATGAATGTAAGCTGCATTTTCATTCTCATGTATTTATTTTAGCAAAAAGATAGCGAAAGAAAAATTTTAACAAATATATATACCGCAAAAAACGTACATTTTTCAGTAGTCCGACTGTTGCAAATGTGCACGTGGTAAAAATAAGTGAAACTAGACCGTCCTACAACTAAAGTGTGTAGACTATATAAACCTTATTCGACTGGCCATGCCAATATCAGACATTTATGTACCAAAGGAACAGGACTATCGAACGCAATTAACGTGACAAAATCAGATGCCCTTTCAATTTTCAGGCAGCGGGTCGTCAGCGAGGAAAGGCCGACTGCAGCTGAAATCCTGCCGACCAAAGGGAAACTTATCCAAGTCGAGACATTTAATTATCCGACTCCTTCTGCAAACTTTTAAAAACATGAATGATAACCAGGTTTCTGTATTTAAATTGAAGTCTGATTAAAGAAAGTCGTCTAATCAAATATGTTATTCGTATTTAGAAGAAAATAAAGACTAGGTGTAGACACTTTCTTAACCCATGAGGTGTTTTAAGCAGGCTAGTATGTTCACCTACATGTATCACTAAATGAGTTGCATATTTCCAGCTGAAATTAAGATTTCTCGAGTACTCAATCAAGTTATTTCTCCTAAAGATCCATCAATCTAGATATTAGTAAAGACAACCACAGACAAAATAAATTATCAACATGTAGCCCGTACATAAACATGTGGTTAGATTACATTTTGTATACTTTGTTGATGATCTCCACCTTTTCCTTTCTTATCTTTTTTAGATACATTTAAGATGGTACACACAAAAATTAAAGAATGTTGTATGATTGACATATCTGCACAGCTCCAAAACAAATCGTAAAGGAAACACTTAACAATATAAGACACACTTTACTATATAAAGGCTTTATGTACTTATATGAATAGATCAAAACAGGAAGCCAAAATATTTGATGTAATGAACTCATGATGTCATACACACTAGTATCGGTTGTGGTATTCAAGATATGACTTATACAGTAATGTTATAGACAATACTGGGAGATGCAAACTTGCGGAATGGCAGCATCAAACCTGCACATAAATGCAACATGTTCAATGCAGAAAGTATTGAAAGATTAACAAGTCATGCTTTATTAACTATAAATACAAACTCAATAACCAAACATCATTTTTATTAATGGAACAACACCAGAAAATAAGATTAATTTCCAGTTGCACAATATATCAGAATTCATAAACGAAAAAGCAGCTTGGCGCTCAGTATAAAAAAACATAATTAATCATTTAAAATTTTTTTTATCTAAAAAAAAGAAAAACAAAAGGCTTACCAAAAAAATTAATTTACATTGACTCCCAGTTTTTGCTTTTTTCAAAATTTTAAATTATACAATTTAAGCGTCACTCTCATCTATTTCATCAATAGGTGTTGCTAAAGAACAAATTTTAGAATTGCTTCTAGATCCTCTTAAATCGAGTTCAATACCAAATGACATTTTATGTGTTTTTATTGAAAGCATATGCAAGAGTCTTTCTCTTAAAGACAATCTTCTGTCGTCTGGCTCGTCATAAATGTGTGTACTTTTAACGTTTATTCTCTCTGAAAATGGTAAAACCGGAAATGCACTGTCAGTCTTTCTAAATTCGGACTCATCTTTGTTGGAATCGACGGAAGAATTCTCTACGTTTATACTTATATTACTTTGATTTTCCTCCTCAGAATCGAATACAAACTGTTGATTGTTCAATTGTGTTTTCCAAGCATCACAATAATTACTCGCTCGGCATTTTAATTCTACACTGTCAGATCCTGATGCGCGCCTTTTGATTAAGTATTTGCGCATGTTTTGACCTTTTTGTACAACGCTTTTGGTAATCTGAGAAAAAAATTTGTTGACTTTTGACGTTTCCGTGTCCCACGGCTGATCAAAAACAGTGACCACATTAGCTCTGACATGGTCGTATTCACTGTTGTCTGCAAAACGAGCTGCTGTTTCAGACCGCAACGTGAAGTCGAGATGCTGATATTCACAACTGTTTTCTGCCTTTTGGGAATTTGTATTTTGACAAGTATTGGTCGCACAGAAACGCGGTCCTTCTGTTTCATTAGAAGTTAATGCTTTATCTATAGGATCGGAATAGATGTCAGCCAGTACAGCGGTAGATCTGGTCGGCCGTGGAGGTCCTTCCATTGCCATGACAATATTGTCTTCACACTTTGAAATAGGAAATGTATATGTTCCCCTATATGAAATAAATTGAAGACTTATCTATGTTAATTTTTAATTGTCGTTTTATTATTTATGCCATTTGGTTATAGAAGCATAAAGAAATAGCTTACTTTAAGTATAAGATTTGCTTATTGTGAGATTCGTATAGTATGCTGTAATTATTTATATATTTTCCTTTGGTCCGCGTCCTGAACAGGCATAACTTATTTGCCACTGGATATAAGCAACCAACAATCGATCAATCGTATGGTCTGTATGGTTAGTTGTCTCATTAACAAACTCTAACACACAAATAACAAAGTAAAGAAAGTGCAAAACCTGATGATACATTTGTTCGACACCAAGCCCTATATACTTTTAAGAACAGTTGCGTCATAGATGTTAAAATTTAGATATAATTATTACTGCGCTAGAGGAAACGAGCTATTACAATGTTAAGAACAAACCAAAAATAAAGCATCGTGCAAAGTACCTTCATTGATAAATTTGCAAAGGAAAATAAGACTTTATATGTCCGAATAAATTTACATCGAATACGGTTGCTGACCTCTAAATTTCATTTGGTAATGTATTTAAAACGCATTTTTTTCACATTAATTGAAAATTCTTACGTCAATGAACGTCTTTAATTCGGGATATTTTGATAAGCCAGCTTTCAGAGCAACATGCATTAGTTTTTATGCATACCTCTTTGGTTTGTAAACACAGCAAGTTACAGTTGCAATTAAAATTACCAAACCTGACACACTCACAGCAACGCCTGTAAGAGATAATCATAGTGTGCTGTAATTATTCATATATTTTATTTTGGTTCGCGTCCTGAACAGGCATAACTTATTTATCACTGGATATAAGCAACCAGCAATCGATCAATCGTTTGGTCTGTATGGTTAGTTGTCTCATTAACAAACTCCACTTGAAACTGGTTTCGATCCAAAAAAAATACTAATTGTAGTTAAAATACACCTGTGACATAAATCTTTTGTTCAAACTCTACATTATTTTTCAGGAATGGACAGTTATTTTCTATTGTTCATCTTCACTCATCCGGACGTGTTGCCCTTTGGATATTTTACCTATGGGAATAATTCTAAAGGACGAAACGCGATATTGAATGAAGATGAAAACTAACTAAAATACAATGTAGCTGATATTCGTTTTTTTTAAAAATTGGATCGTAGTAATACAATGAACACCAAATATCTCATTATTGATAAACAGCTTTTATTTGCGAGTAGTAATTCCATCGTATAATATATAGTATCGTATTCACTAAAATTCCACAATATTATACACGATTTGTTTCCCTATGTAAATCTTGACTGAATTTCTGTGACGAATAGTATCCGATCGGGTAAAAACGAATATTTTCCATTGAGTGCCATTCCTCTTCTGTGCATCTACAAAATATCAAATGTTTTAACTCAGTTGAATTCTTTTATGATATTGAACACATGAACATCATTTAATAAGGAAAATTAGAGAAAAGTATATTTCACTTAAAGATTTGCTTTAATTTTGATTTAATTTTACCGTTCACGATATCAATTCCTTGAAATTTGAAGTGCTGTATTTTGATTTTGTACAGCAACATTTCCTTTGTTTCATTTTAATATGTACATTAAAAACAGAAAAATACTCGGATAGTTTCTACAATAATATTGTTGTTTAATAGAATAAAAAGTACAAGAAACTGAATTGGTCAACAAGTTTTCTCGATTGAATTGTTTCATATTTTTCATGTCGCTCCCTTTTATAGCCGACTATACGGTATGGGTTTTTCTCACTGTTGATGGCCCTACGGTTGCCTATAATTGTTTACATCCACTTTATTTGAATTTTGGTGGATAGTTGTCTCATTGGGAATAATACCTCATCTCCTTATTTTTATATTAAAATGGCGTGTTCGGTATATTATTTGATTGTTCGTTGTTATAATGTGAATAAAGACTAATGAATAGAACTTGAGGGGTATGCATAACATTTGAATAAGGCTTGTGGTAAATATTGGGCGGGTTTTTTATATTCAATTTTGAATAGAAACGCGTAACACAATCGAATTCCTTCACTGTTGTTGTCCGGTGGCTAATAAACCAGTTATATCGGCAGCGCAAATGACGGCGTTGTTCTTGAACATGTTGAAATGTGTAAATGAAATCAAAAAGAAGTTTTCCACTAAAGTTAAAGACATACAAAACAGTATCTAGAATTGTTTTTAATCACGCGGGTTTTTTCTTTAAATTAGGGAATTTAGGGAAGAATGAAAAATATTTTCAGTGTGCCTGTATTGCTATTTTAGACTCATCTAAAAAAGCATAACATTTTGTTCGTTGTTATGAGCAAAGGGAAAGACAAAAAAGTGGTGTGATGCACGAAACACTGTTTTCTTGTTTAATTTTATTTAATCTAACAGAATTGCTTGAAATATAGAATCATATCATGTTTCAAATATGATTTATACTCGAGCACACCCTCATTAGTAAGTTAAATAACCTAGACTAGAGTGTTACATACCTGGAAATTTATTCTAGTTGTACCATTTCCTTTTTCATAGACGATTCTACATCCAAGATTTATGAAACGAAAAATACATATAATCCATTCACTTACATGCATAAATACTATTTTTTTTTCTCTCCCGAAATACCACTTAAAGACACAAATAAATATCCTTTCAATCACACTACAAGAAAGAAGTGCGTAACCAATGACTTAAAACATAAATCTGGATGAACTTTATTCAAGATTTTTTTAAAGTAATTATTCTACTGTTCATAAATACTTCGTTAAGTGATTAGATCGTCAGCTTGATCTTAAATTTAGCCTAAGGATTATTGGGTATAACACGGGGAAAATGAAAAGAAACCATTACAGAATGAAATAAAGTTCTTGAAAATGTTAACATCTGAAGATTTTTTTTTAATTTTTAAGGTGTATTTTAAGTTAGCGAAAGTCAAAATAATTGTCAATTCCTGGGAAATAATGGGCGTCGGCCCTACGGGCCTCCGCTCCATTATTTTCCAGGAATGGACAGTTAATTGGACTTTCTCTATAACTTCTACCAAATTACCACTGTAGTAAAAAAAACTTATCAATTTTACCGTTTATTTATAACAAATCGTAACTCTCTTAAAACTAAGTGTTTTTCCGTTCAACTCATTATCTTTTTTTTCAAAACACTGAAGACATTTGATATTAGAGGAAGTTGAACATTCATTGAACGTTATATAGTGTGATCAGCACAATGAATGCAGTTTTATTTAAAGGCAAACATGCTTCAAATTTGTTCTGCTGTTTTGAATAAAGATAAGAATTACAATGTATGGAAATACATAATGTTTTAACACGACATGTCATTAAGGTGGTACATAACCCTGCAGGGAGATAACTCTGTAAAAATAAGCTGAACGTTTTAATCACGTTCTATTGTAAGGAAATATTAAGCTTCTCAATGATCAAAATTAGTGTTTGTCAAACTGCTATATATCCAATGAAATTTTCCCGATAAAGTGTGTGGTTCAAGTTTTTTGAAATTTATATATTTTTGTCAAAGGGTCAAAGTAAATATTTTGTCAAATTTTTGACGATTAAACGAGCCAAATTAATTTTAGTCAAGGTGTTTAGTACCATCTTCAATAATTTTGACACCAATTGCTTTCAAATGAAATAAAAGTGATATATACACTTGTATATTTAGTACCTATCTGCAGAGCAAAGACTGAAAGAAATGTGGCATCAGTTGCATTAGTTTTATATTTAGACGTCCAATCTACATTAGTTGATATATCCGGCCTTTCATAATTTGTTGTCATTGTAGTTATGTTGCTTTCTGTTAAATGTAGCAATTTAATGGACGTAAACTCTGAATCACTCGGTATGGTTGTGTTTGCATTATCATCGTCTTTATTTGTTACACTATTGCTGGTGTCTGAAAGTGAAGCATTGTATACGAATTTCAATATGCTTGAGTTATTTGATTATCGATTTTACCGATATTGCTACGAGTAAATAGCAACAAAGGAAAAACAAATTCATGTATGATCCAATGCACGTGTATTCTGACAGTTCTCTATAAATATCTTACATGTATGTATCAATGATTTTTTTGCAATAGAAGTAATATGTTGTTGTGGCTGTACTTTGAGAGTGTTCATTGAAAAATTGCTTTTAATTTCAGAAGTTAAACAAAACTCTTTCATGCATGATCTTTCTCAAAATGAGAATTTATAATACATCAAAATTATAAGACAATCAACATGATCAAGATAAGCTATGATTGTGCTTGCTTAAGAGTGGAAGGATCTTTGAAACTACAATGTTGGGTTAAATTATGCGTCTGGATTGTTTTATGGAGAATAGAATTTTAAAGAATGGAAACCGTTGATTAAGAAAATGAAAAAAAAAAAAGAAAAAAAAATCCAGAAACAGTTTGTAATAGATGAGATTACAGTGCAATCATTTCTTATAGATATAGGTCTCATAAGATTGATTTTAGTTCAATCAACTTCCCTTGTCTCATCTCATTCATATATGCAATAATTGTTCGATGCGTGCCAAAGAAAAAAAAGACAACCATAGAGCATATTTCTAACTTCATAACGACACAACATGTGGTTGGGTTCATTGAAGTGTAAACCTTTAACAGATCATTTTATCAAAAGTGTGTTTTAAATGTGAGTTTATACTATTGTGTGTGTTATTTTGATTTTTTTTCTTGGCACGCATTTTGTCAGTGTGCTTAAATTTGTGCTTGAGGGGTTAGATGAGCACAAGTGATCAATGTATTCTCCTTTTCTTCGACAGCTAACTTCTTTTAACCGTAAACGTACAGACTAATCCTGATTCAACTTACCAAATTGAAAATAATGGCAAAGTATATAAGATATTAGATACAAAAGACGAAGAGAATTAGTTCAATTTAATGTGTGTGATGAACTTTACATAGACGATCTACCATACAAATTCTGTCTTTTCGGCAAGACACTTTCAAGAGAAAAGTGGATCTGCCACCAGTTTAAAATACACAACTTTAACTTTAGGGGGAATCGAGTTCACAGAACAATGTTTAAACCGTAGGTTAAACAAAGATTTAAGAACGTGAAGTAATTAATAGATGTATCATTATAGAACTAATCAGAAAAACGTAGTACTTCAAATAAAATGATATAATACATGCTAAACAGTTTTATGTCAATACCTGTTTCATTAAGTACAGTACATATCAAGTCAATACACAGCAGATTAAAGTTGAAGAAACGAAGAGTATTCTTGTTTACTGCTTCTGTAAAAAATGTATTTGAACTCTTTATATTGATTGACGGACACGGAAGCTCATTTATGCATATAAGATGTAAATATGATACTGATACAACACAGTGTAAAGAATTGATGATATAAGCGTGTTATTGATTTTTATAACTACAGATAATCTAATCTGGTATTACATATGAATAGTTGCTAACGTCTACGCCATCTGGTCTCCGGTGGAGAGGTCTTACATTGGCAAGTATACCACATTTCTTTTTTTTTGTATATAGTTTAGTTATAAGAAAGACTTGTAAGCGATTGATTATGGAAAATAAAACTAATTTCTAAAGTGTGTGTTGAATCAAACGAGCGTTCAATGATTTAAGGGACAACTTACCTAGTTGACAGTCAACGTTGTTGTGTGATAACACATATTTCTTATTTGTATTTGTCCAAATGTGTACATTAGACCTAATAAAGGACGTCCAAACAAATGTATTGGTTTGTAGTTCATCATTGGTTTTCAACCATTGATCTCCAGGAAGTGAGCATTCCATACTTGATTTCATGTCACTCTTAGATATGTCACCAACTTTTTTTGTATCTAGAATGATAATTTAAAATCGTACCCTAGTATTACATTTCAGAATATTCTTGATTGCTTATTATTTTAAAATAGTTATAAGGTATCCTGTACCTTGTCTTTATTCAAAATAGTATCCCGAAAAATAAACCACATACCAAAATAGTCTAACTATATCTCAATGTATTCATGTGACTGTCTATAGAGCTATAGAGAGCAATCTTTTCGTTTCTGTATGAATTTAGTTTATTTTAAATGTTTTGGATAATCAATATGGACATTCCCGTCTTGTTCTGACCCCCAGTCGTGAAAAGGCTTGCTACACGGTTTTGAGCATTGATTAAATGGTGCAAAGCTAATAGTGAATGTGAAGGTCGTATGGTGACCTTAAGTTACATAAATTCAGGAATTGGTACATGGAGGATATTTGTTTCATTAGCAATCGTGCTATATCTCCTTATTTGTATATGTATATTAGAATAAATAGTGAAATGAAATTACCTCCTCCATCTGAGATGCAAATTGCAGTGTGCTGTTCGGAACAAGATACTGCTTTATACATTACTTTGATTTCATCTATCATTTTAGCTACCATGCAGTTTCTATCAAATATTTCTTGATCTTTTGGGTCTGGTTGAAATACTTTGAAAATAAATCAAGAAAAAGCATCAGTTTAATCACACTTGATTAAAGCTTCCGATACTTAGAATTTGTATTGCATTTTATTTTGATGTATCATTACTGTTTTCTGTAATCATCTTTTAATTAATGTACTCTGTTTAGCCAATTTATTAGAAATACCATATTTGTTGCTGAATAACAAAAAGGCATTTTTTAAACTATTTTGCACCGATATTAAAAACTCACTCAGGTCAAACATGAAAAAAATGAACTCAAATGAGTCCGGTTCCTGCTCCACCAACTCTGGAGCCGCACTAAAATTACATTAGCAAACCTTGACCAGAACTGTTCATATTTGATACAATATGTGTAAGATATAGTATGGATTGTTCACATATCAGAACAAGAGACGAACGCAAGTCATTTCTGTTCATACTGGGTAGACAGATATTTTATAATTTTAGGCTTTATAATTGATAGTCATTCTTCGAATTATGATTTTCATTTCGCTCATTAGGCAACAGCAAGTTTTCAAAATACACAATGCAATTCAAACCCTGGAACTTGACGTTAATTGTGTGAAATCTGGTTTTGTCATTAGACAATTTAAGATTGATTCAACCTTGGTATATTCTGAGATTGACAAGATATGTGTTTTATAATATAAATTATATTTTCGTTGATACTTAATTATATTCGTCGCTCATCTAAACCAACGAAAGCTACGAAAATTGGTTCCCAAGGAATAATAATGAATCCACAGTATAACAACAAGCCTAGATACATGTAAATGTGCAACTTGTCAACATCATGCACCAGTTGAGAAACAAAAACATCTAAATAATGGTACGACATTTTGTCGAAAAAAGACAAATAATTTTGGACTGGTCAATCATTTTGATTTAAATTTAAACATGTTAATAACAAATATGTGATGTCATTTTCTTTTTTTTTCTTTCTTTTTCATAGATTTTTTCAATTTCTAACTAATTTTCTCTCGGTTTACTTTTTTCCAACTTCAGATATTCAATTACATTATTAGTTGTTATAGTTGTTAACAATGCCCCTGTGTGCTACAGCAATGATTCTAATGTGCCTCCTTGTATTGTTAGCTACTAATAAGACCAGCAGCTTTTATTAGCAAACTTCTTAAACATCTATGTATTATGTGTGTTTGTTTCAATTTACAGTGATGTCATTTTTTTGTAATGACTGTCGATATTCGTATAATTAATCTAGATTTACTTTACCTTTCATCTGCTTATACACATCAAAGTACCAGTCGTCTTCTGATCCACATGTAGCATTAGTCCACTGATCAGTACATGGAGAAATACAGTTTTTACTATGGTTAATATTTGACCAATTTTGATCTTCTAAACACACGCATGTGTTCGTCTATTAAAATAAAGGATGTATATTCATATGCATGTTTCAAAATATTGAGCACTTAAAAGCGAATGGCAAAATTTTTACGTGTCTGTAAGTGACATGATGTAAGCATAATTGCTTAACTAATATGATCATTCCGTTGTTTGGATAATAAAATATTAATTTATAATATAGTAAAGTATTAAAAGATTTAGGTAAGGTAGCAACCCAATAAATGCAAATGAATACATGTTTGAAAAAACAAACCAACATTAAAGTAACTAAAAATTGGCGTAGCTTCAAAATTAAACTTATCATTTTCAACTTTGCAACATCTGGTACATGGGAGAACATATTGTATTTTTTATCATAATTCATATTTTCCGGCCTATTTTGAAGTCCAATAAAAAAAAAAGAAGGTGCGCGACACATCAAAATGATCTACAGAATGAAGAGGTGGGCAGACATATATTATTTGAACGTGATGTATACTGTGAGACCAAACAATATCTTCGTATGGAGCTATATCTTCGACAACTGCAGTAAAAGGTAAGATGAACCTGAAAAGCAGTTAATCCTCCTAGATTCCCGCAGTAATGCATTAAATTTAGCGAAATCAATTTCATTTGACGAATCAGCGTAGAATGTTAACCGATTCGGTAAAAGGTCAAAGCTAGGGAACCATAATTAGTAAATTGGAAGGATTTTGGCATTTGTCAATATAACACCAGACATTTAAAAACTTAAGGTAAATGGGAAATGTGGATCGTAATTTGTCAAAAGCATTACCTATCACATGTACATGTTGAATAAATTTTAAATAAATACAACAAACGCACCTTAGATTGGAAATTCACTTTCTGTTTAAAAGGTCAACCTAGAAACTAATTTATTTTTCTTAGAAGAGTAAGATCTATCACAAGCATGGTTATTATCAACAAAACAGAGAACTTCCTAGTTTGTGATTACAAATTAGTAATTAGTTACCTAATATTTCTGAGAGCATTTGCAAAAATTCACTAAAGACACAAGGCTTATAATTTTATACAATAGATTCGCGTTTCGTCTAAACAAAACTTATCAGTGACGCTTGCATAAAAATAGCTTTAAGACCAAAGCAAGTATAACAATGAAGAGCATTAAGGAGTATACTTTCAAAATGTTTTGCTAAAATGTATTCCGTAATCTGTACCTTGGTTAGAAAATCCTTAGTATGTCGAACAATTCAAAGTGTTCTAAACAGTGAATTTAAAGACAAAAATGATCAACAATATTGCATGTCAACATAGAAATGCTGAATATTGGGCTTGTGATACCATTGAAAACGAAAATTCTACACTTTTTTATTTGCTCTCTAATTAAACACCTATCAATTCTTATCATTTTGAAGCTCTTTCGTTGTATGACCAAATTATCTAAATGACGTACAGAACTGAGGTTAATAGATTATTAAAGATGTATGAAGGAACATTGGGGCAAACAATTTTAGAAATCATTCAATACCCTTTGAGGCTTTAAAGATATTGTTTGATTTTGAATTGTGTTGTTTGATTTTGTCATAAGGATGCTACCTTAAATTTCATAATACATTTTAGTGTAGAATAATTCCGAAAACAAATAATTTCCGGATTTCCTTTCCGTCATTACCATTGGTTTCGGATTTTATTCCTACTATTACCTTCTTCTTTATGAATTGCTTTCCAGCGATGCAAAACATACACCAATTTTTTTTGTTTTAAACGGCAACAAAAAGAATCATTTGAACAATACATGAACAATAATCAAAAGTCTTACTGTATTTCGTTCTTTACATGAGCACACACATTTACTTTCCTGTTGTGATACAACCCTACACTTTTACTAATAACGATAAACAGGGCTGTCAATTCTCAACTTCATTTAACTAAACAAGCAAATAAACTAATCATATATACCAGGATTAATATTTTTTACTATCGTTTCGTCTTCAAACGACCCATCAGTGACGCTAGAATCGGAAAAAAAAGACCAAATATAGTACGAAGAGCATTGATGACCCCAAGTTCCGGAAGATTTGCAAAATACAGCTATGGTAATCTATTTTTTCCGGGGTCAAAAATCAATAGTAATTCGAAAAATTTAAAGTTTTGTAAACAGTTAATTTATAATTATGAACATGTCAATGATAATTTATGTGAACTCAGAGGTGCTAAACGTGATAACTTAAAAAAATCAAAGGCATCATTTGTAGAGCGCAAATCTGAACCATGTAGAAAAATAAAATGTTGGAAAATGGGGGCAGGTGGCAGGGGGTAGGGAGAACGGGGTTACTCGTCATTTTTTTTCACATTTTAAAGAATTATGTCAAGTTGCAGATAATACGTGACGACGGACGAAAAATTGCTTACTATATAATCCCGCTATTGTTAAAGGTGACATAAAATGAACAAGATATCATTGATTATTGGCAGACATTTCTATTATGAAACCTCGACACTTAATTAAGAAATTAGGAGATAACAAGTGACAAACATACATTCAAAAAGAGTACAGACACAATTAAGTTCTCCAGAAGGATAATCGAGTTCTGATGAATTGTCACACCTGAATAGCTGCTTACGGTAAAAGTCCGTTAGTAAGAAAACAAGAATGCCTAGTTCATTTAATTGATAGCCATAAGTTCCAAAAATAAAATCGCCCAGAATGTGACTAATAATTGCAAATACACTTAATGAAATATATCTTTTTAATATATTTTATACTGTTAAGCAAATTAAAAACAACACTTACAATTGATATATTCTGGATAATTTTACATATAAAGAAGCTTGGGTACGGATTCCAACATTGAAAATAAAACAAATAAAACAATTTGTCGAAAAAAGAATGATCCAAAACTACTTTCCCAGCCTAATGCTGCTAGAGGAATAAATTACATTTGATATGTATAGTCAGTGAACTATAAAACAGAGAGAAAGCCATGTATGTATTACAAAAAGATATTGATGTACGCAAAACAAATTTTGTCAATATTGACACAATTGACAAATTATAACCTACCTTCACACCGAAATATGAAGACGATTCACATTTCATTGAACAACGACCTGGTGAATTAGGATTCAGTTGTTCTGTTATATCAGTGTGTGCAAATGAGGAATTAGAATAACAACCTAAAGAAGAATAAAATAACAGTTACATGAAATGATATAGTGTGTATTTTCTAAATGTTTCGCAGTATTGCTGTACTGAAAAAAAAAACACAACCTGGAATCGTTAACTGCTACTTTTCTGTAATAAAAAATTTTTTACAAGTCACCTTTTCTTCTTTATCTGTTCATCCAAAAAATTATCCATGCATTTATATTTATGTTATTTTTTTTTTAATTTTGAAACAATGGTTTGATAAATTGTTTGGTAGAAACTAGATGTTTTGGAACGGCACGAATGGTCCCGCCAGCAAAAAAGGCTTGAAGCCATTTTTAGGAGTCCAAAGCCCGTAATTTCGGCAAAAAAAGGCGGAGCGGAACCACACGTAAACTCTATCTGTAATTCATCATAGTAGACTCACATACTACAATTCAGTCCAATATCATAAGACAGTGTTATACGGATCTTTTCCCTGTTTTTACTATTATGATGCCAACCAAACTGACAAGTTTATTGTGGCAACACTATAGAGATGATATATATGGACAAAATGAAAGCAATGTAGCATAGAGTGTGTGTGTGTGTGTGTGTTTGTGTGTAGGGGAGATGGGATACAATATTTGCCAAAAATTGAAGTACCTAAGACACATCCATCTTCAAAAACTTAATAAATGCAATTAAAAAATTATAAATAACCTTCATATCCCATCCAACGTGTAGAAATAAACACGTCATATCCTTCCCCGTCCTGATAAGTCGGTCCTTCATCATGGTAATTAATATGACACGGTATTGTTGTACTTTTCCCCAAAGCATTCTTGTTTCCTGAAATTTCAAAATAATTTGTCCAGTAATTGCATTACGTCTGACTTTCTAGAGTGAAATGCAAATAATGTAATCCATAATCATACATATAAAGATGAGATTAGAGTACTGAAGTTGTGATCCTTTTTTTACCTTGAATTTGTATTTTCTTGATAGTTTTATCAGATTTGAACGTTGGTATACTTCTAATGCACCTCATATGGAATAGTTCCCTCTTTGAGAAGAGCTAAATATATTGGTCAAGTAAAATGACCAAGTAATGATGGATGCAGTTGATTACACGTAGCTGGATTAATTATTTCCTTAAAGGGTTGTCAATAAAATCCTCTTGTTTTAATAACAAGCTACGTATAGATTTAAAAACGCAGATTTGGTTAACTTGTAGATAAGTTCGATTTCAACAAAATGTGTGTATTCAACGAACAAACAAATCATGCAGTTTGTATTCTCCTCTCTCATTTTTCAACGAAATAGGCCGCGATACGCTCAGTTAGGTCGGTTATGTGGAGCAATGTCATTGTATTAGAAATCTCTATCATACCCTTTTCAAAATCTTTGTTCGATTTTTTATATGTTTTACGTGTAATTCTAAATCAAACAAAGAATACAAACCTGCCTCTAGAAACAGCATCAAAACAAACGACGTTTTTGACAACATATCAACAGCCATTTTGAATTATAAAAGATTTCCCGTTGATACAAACAATACATGCAATACGGACACATTTAATAAAATACTTAACAAAACAATAGTGGATGAATATATTTTATTTAAAGCTCATTTAGGAAACACATTAACGTTCAATTGTATTCGAGATTTGTAAATATTTACCAGCGTTTTTTTTCTGACGGAGAACTTTTGTATTATATTACTTTTTAGGGTTACAATAGGAAATATAAAAATATTTCTAATGAAATGTTGAATGCGAAAACAAATATTTCGGATTTGACTTGAAAAGCTAGTTGAAATTGAATAAAATTGCTAATTATGCATACCCTTATATAACAAATACTCTGCACTTACATATGAGTTCAATGTTTTTCATTAGAACCTTCAAAACAAATATCTCCGACTTTTACCTAACACAAATATTTTTTTTTCTGCTTAAGGCATTTTTATTTATTAAGAACTCGAAATATTGAATAACAATGTTTGATCATGTGGTTTGAATAAATTCAGTGCAGTTTGTGTTATCGAAACCAATACTACTTGTATATGATAGTATTGTACGAAAACCAAATCATATCTATCAAATGTATTTGAATGTCAAATAATAAACAACATACAAAATATGTTTTAAACACCTGAAATAAGAAAGACAAAATATAGGTTAGAATATATCGACATCCAAAAAATTACATGATTGATTGATTGATTGATTGATTGATTGGTGTTTAACGCCACTTTCAGCATAATTGTTCTATTTCACGGTGATCAGTTTTTATTGGTGGAGAAAGCCAGATTGCACGGAAGGAACCACCGAACTGCGGTAGGAAAACTGACAATCCTAGTCAATTAGGATTAGAGTCGGGCGCACCGCACCTGTCACGTGCTGGAACAGATTTATGAGACATTCAGATACACGAATGATATTATATTTATTCTACACTAATTACGTGTAACGGTACTAGTTTGACTGCACTGGATTTGCATTTTGATTTTTGTATCCTTTCAGTGATCATGATAGCCATATAAATAGACATATCCACCATAAGCCGAAACCAAAATAGAAACCGGAATCGAATCCAAAAACTAAACCAATGATAGCTGAGTGGGTTGATATTCTCCTCTGTAAATCTCAGTGTGAACTCAATCAGTATTTTCATTAAAATTGTTCTTAATCTAAAATAATTAAATCGATGATTTGTTAAAATCTTCCGGAGCACATGAGTTCACCCCGGTTTTGGTTGGGTTCGTGTTGCCCAGTCTTTAGTAATCTATGTTGTATATTGTATACTGTTGTTTGTCTTTTGGTCTTTTCCCTTTTTTGACATTGCTTTGTAAGTTTAATTTTGACTTATGAGTTTGAATGTCTCTTTAAAATCTTTTGTCTCTCTTTGACTCGTCAATTCAAATGATATGTTGTTTTTTTTTTTGAAATAGTGAAGTTTAAATCAACCTCTTCTGAATATACTGGTACAAAGTATATACCATTTAATATGTCGATAAGGCAAAATAAAATTAGAAATCGAAGAGCATTGAGAACCCAAAAATCGGAATGGTTTTGCAGCTAAGATAACTATTCCTGGGCAAGAACATCCTTAGTATTTCGAAAAATTCAAAGTTTTATAAACCGTTAAGTTATAGTTATGACAATATCAAAGACAATTCATGTCAACACAGAAGTGCTGACAACGTTAACTGGTCTGGTGATACTATAATATAACCTAGAGGCTCTAAAGGCCCTATGTGGCTTACCTATGTATATGTGCATCTTCAACATTGGGCACTCTCTGACAATTTAGACTAGACAGTAATTTACGATTAAAATCTCTTTGTTGTTGATGTTGTGGTCCTGATATTTTTTCTGTTTCAGTATCTCTCTATCTTCCATAGTTTTGATTAAAACACAAAAAAGGGATATTTATAGTTGACTATACGGTATGAGCTTTTTTCATTTTTGAAGGCCGTACGGTGACCTATATTTGCTTTTATCTTCGCAACTTGAAGTCTCATGGAAAGTTGTCTCATAGGCAATATTACCAAATCTCCTTATTTTTACACATTTTTATAATGCTGCATCAATAATTTAGACATTAATAAAGACAACCACGGACGAGGGTTTGGAAATGTGACGTGCACATGAATATATGCTATTTAAAGTTTCTCTCTATTCATAATAGTTTACAAGGTAAAAGGCAAAAACATGAAAAGGTAAACATGGTTATTGAATGTCAATACCTAAAATATGGAGTCGACTGACACTTTTATCCATGTTGACGTATTTAAGATTCTTGTCTTGCTGATAATGTTTTACAAAAATGATTTATTGTACAGTTTCTCTCTATCTATTATAGTTTTCAAGATTAAAGTCAAAATTACACATAATGTTGGTTGACAACCGAAGTCATCGGACACTTTTTCAAACGAGTTACACCAATGATGTTGTTGCAAAGTTTGGTTCAAATTGGCCAAGTAGTCTCAGAGGAGAAGATTTTTGTTAAAGATAACTGACGACGGATGACGATTGACACCGATGGATGACGATGACTTACGACGGACGGTAAGTGAAGGAAAAATTTCAAACTGATGTAATGAACATATGACGTCCTACACACTAATATCGGTTGTTGTTATCTAGTTAAGATCCATACAGTAATGTTATAGATGGTGCTTGGAGAAGCAAACTTGTGCAATGACAACAAAGAACCTGAACATAATTACAACATGTTAAATGCAGAAAATATTAAATAGCTATTAAGTGATGCTTTATTATCTTTATATACACAAACACGGCTGGTAATCTACACACGCAGAACAATCGGTTCTGCAATGAAAACCGTGAGAGGATTTTCCGGTTATGCTTGAGTGGAGTAATTGTCACCGCTTCAAAAGGTATGTACATTTCTAAATCGCAATTTTCTAATTCAACTGATCAAAATATTGAAAATCGGAGAATGCTATGCTGTGGTGAATACTTTAACAAAGAGAAACATGTATCATTTATTGTTGTGCATGGAGTAAAACTCCTACAAAATCAATCGTCCCACGAGTAATTGCCGAAAAAAGTGACATTTAAATCTTGAGATGGTTCTATTAACAGACCTACAAGTTCAGATTTAGTTTTTTTTTCTGTCAACGGGATTGAATGTCGTTTTGGGCGGCGTGTACGCTGTCCGAAGTTGATAGACGTCTTAATAAATCTAAAAACTGCCAATTTTCATTATTTCATGCGTGAGGGGATTGGTTCTGATTGAGGACATCGTGAATGCGTGAGGGGAAGTGCAATCATATCTTTATATCGAAAAATGCAATAATCACTTCAAAGAAACTTTAAGGCAAGTAACTTGCATAGTTTTATTGAAGTTCATACTAAATATAAATTGACAATGGAAATGGAAATGGCTAAAACGTAAATATAAGTGGTTTAGATTTATGATTGACTATGTTTTTTTCTCATGTGCATGTATTAAGACTTTAATCTATGTTTTAGATGGATTGAACACGCCACTATTGCCTGCAGTGTGATAAGTCATAAACTCAACGTCCAAAGCCGAACTTCCATGCAAAGTTGTTACATAAAAACACACTAGACACAAAGTGCAGCTACTGTGACAAGACTTTTTCATCTAAAGATAGTAAAAGAAGTTGAAAATTCCTCCTGAAAATCATTTGTGTTACACTGAAAAGGCTTGGCTCCCATGCGGACCACAGATTCATGCCTTCTTTTATTATCTTGAGATGAAAATGTCTTGTCACAGAAGCTGCACTTTGTGTCTAGTGTGTTTTCATGTACCAGCTTTGCATGGAAGTTCAGCTTTGGACGTTGAGTTTATGACTTATCACACTGCAGGCAATGGTGGCGTGTTCAATCCATCTAAAACATAGATTAAAAGTCTTAATACATGCACACGAGAAAATCAATCATAAATCTAAAACACTTATATTTACGTTGTAGCCATTTCCATTTCCATTGTCAATTTATATATTTAGTATGAACTTCAATAAAACTATGCAAGTTACTAGCCTTTCTTTGAAGTGATTATTGCATTTTTCGATATAAAGATATGATTTCACTTCCCCTCACGCATTCACGATGTCCTCAATCAGAACCGATCCCCTCACGCATGAAATAATGAAAATTGGCAGTTTTTAGATTTATTAAGACGTCTATCAACTTCGGACAGCGTACACGCCGCCCAAAACGACATTCAATCCCGTTGACAGAAAAAAAACTAAATCTGAACTTTTAGGTCTGTTAATAGAACCATCTCAAAATTTAAATGTCACTTTTTTCGGCAATTACTCGTGGGACGATTGATTTTGTAGGAGTTTTACTCCATGCACAACAATAAACGATAAATGTGTCTCTTCGTTAAAGTATTCGCCACAGCATAGCATTCTCCGATTTTCAATACTTTGATCAGTTGAATTAGAAAATTGCGATTTAGAAATGTACATACCTTTTGAAGCGGTGACAATTACTCCACTCAAGCATAACCGGAAAATCCTCTCACGGTTTTCATTGCAGAACCGGTTGTTCTGCGTGTGTAGATTACCAGCCGTGACAAAGTAATGTTTATATAGAAATCAAAACTTATAAAACATTTGTTTTGTTTAATGGAACCATGCTAACAACACCAACAAAAAGGAAAAAAAACGTACGAAAAAACTCAAGTCAAAACACGTAAAAGTGTGATTTTATTTTATTTATTGGAATTTATATCTTGATTAGTTAAAGGAAAACAAAAATCGTTTTTGTTTCGTTGATTTCCTTTTCCGGATTACACTCGTTTCAGACTAAATTGATGAAAATACAGCGTTTTGTTCAGTGTAATACGTTGGTAAGGCTGGTATTCATGACATAATTAATCATTGGAAAATCTACACTGACTCCCAGATATATATTTTAATTCATGTATTTAAAATTAAACAATTTAAGCTACACTCTCGTTTATTTCATCAATAGGTGTTGCTAAAGAATAAATTTTAGATTTGCTTCTAGATCCTCTTAAATCGAGTTATATATTAAATGGCATTTTAAGTGGTTTTATTGAAATCATATGCAAGAGTCTTTCTCTTAAAGACATTCTCTGTCGTCTAGTTCGTCATAAATGTGTGTACTTTTAACGTTTGTTCTCTCTGAATATGGTAAAACCGGAAATGCACTGTCAGTTCTTCTAAATTCAGGCTCATCTTTGTTGGAATCGACGGTAGAATTTGCTACGTCTATACTTATATTACTTTGATTATCCACATTAGAATCGAATACGAACTGTTGATTGTTCAATTGTGTTTTCCAAGCATCACAATACTCACTTGCTCGGCATTTTAATTTTGGACTACCAGATCGTGCTGCGCGCCTTTTGATTAGGGATTTGCGCATATTTTGACCTTTTTGTACAACTCTTTTGCTAATCTGAAAAAAACAATTTGTTTACTTTAGACGTTGCCGTGTCCCACAGCTGCTCGAAAACACTGACCACATTAGCTCTGGTATGGTCGTATTCACTGTTGTCTGCAAAGCGTTTAGTTGTTTCAGATCGCAATGTGAAATTAAGATGGTGATATTCACCGTTTTCCGTCTTTTGACAATTTGTGTTTTGACAAGATTGTGATGCAGAGAAACGCGGTCCTTCCACTT